GGTTGATGCGACCCTCCCCGGCGTTTCCAGGCTTATAACGATAGAGCTTGCCGAGAACAGCAGTATATTGTTCTGAAGAAGATCTCACGATTGGTACTTGTATTATGTGGTTGGCAGGCCAAAGGTCGAATTTTACAGAAAACCGCACTTTGTAGCTTTATTTTATGTTGACGAGAACAAGCCTTGCAGTGACGCGAACCTTAAATTAACGTGTGTCTTATTCAATTCTGAGTACATTCTGTAGTGCAATTCTCTTGCCACCCGCCGCCTGAGCCAGCCATAGATCGCCGTGGAGTGCTCATCACAACCTACCGCTGCCCCGAAACCAGAAAATCTAGGAAAACGTTTTGGTATCAAAACACATGCCATAATCCGAGGCTCGCGAAACTTTCCCCGTCCTAACAACGAGAACATCTCATTGACGCGCCAGACTGATCGCATGCGCTTGGCGACAGGCAGGTTGGTGCGAATGAAAATGGCGCGAACGATAACAGGACCGACAAGGCAACCGATCGCTGTTATCGCATAAGGCGGACTGCAGTGAACGCATAAGACCCAAGGACATATAAGAAAGGTACGGGTATGCACTTTGAATGGGGTCATAATAGTTTTCAATAAGTTTAGCTCCTTTCACTGTTTCGCTAAGTCTTTGCATATGGATATAGGAGCACACAGTGCGTTTACGGCAAGCCCAGTGTGTAGGACATGCTACAAATGCTCTTGAAACGGGAGATGCAATAGTGTAGGCGTTAGGCGACAAACAGCCGATCGCATATAGGAACACCGAGACAAATGTCAGAACGTCATGTTATTGTCGGTGTTTAGCGGATACGTGGCCGGTAGGCAGAAGGGTGGCGGCAGGTTCTGCCATTTGATTTTATTTGTCCGTCATTTCAGGCAGAGGCAGGTTTTCTCTACTTCACGTCTCGGTTAAGATGACAGCACACCGTGCATTTCTGATCCTTCTTACATTTTTTTTCCTGGGCTCCGTAATATCATGCCTAGTTGCGAATGGAGTTATGTAACGGGGGATTTGTGTCACCAGAATTAAAGTGCGAATGTGTGAATTCATATGATATAATGCTTAGAAATATGTGGTCGATGGTGATACCCCTTCTGCATGTGTTATGTCGTAAGCATGTCTAAGTGCCTACTCTCGCTGTCTTACACATTATCTTATTGCTGCATTCGATATCGCCAAAATATTTTCGTGAAAAAATGATTTTTTGTCGACATTTGCAACCACGTGAGGCAATAATTTTTGCTTACTTCCATATTTACCTCCTCCTTGTTTCATCTCATACTGAGCCGGTCTCCGAAAACCAACTCCCACGGGACAAGTCGTGATCTGTCTGGGGTCCGGTGCTAGACGACTACGGCGCTTGAGAAACTCAAGGCGGGGAAACGTCCCCGTCCGACCAATTATAAATGCCATTGGAGCATTTTCATCCACGCGCAGAACTTCACACGCAACAGGCAAGCTAGCGCGAATGAAAATGGCACGAACGATCAGCTGATCGACCCAGGCAACCGATGACCGTAACCACGTAAGTCAGAAGTCGGTGAACCAGACGTCGCATGAGGCCAAGGGAAATATAACCACGATATAGGTATACGTACATGTATATATATATATATATATATATATATATATATATATATGCACACATATTATTGATGTGATAACAAAAGGTTTTAATGTGCACAGTTCCTTTCATTGTTTTGCTACGCGATTGGTAATGGTGGTAGGTACATCGTGTCCCCGGGGCGAGAATAGCAGAGAGCACTTCGAACGGTACTTATGGCAAATGCTCTTGAAACGGGTTGAGCGATGGGGTATGCAATAGGCGTCTAGCAGCGGGCCGTATGCAGCAACACAGCGTGCGTACCTGTTCACGTGCGTACCTGAACCGCTAGTGGGTACCTGTTGACTTGAAGGCAACAGCGCTTAGAGCCTGCGTGGGGAGAGTTTAGAGACAGCATGGCCCAGTACACATGTCTCGTGCGAGGGAGACGCCAACTACATAGCATGTACAAACAACACAACAACACTTTTCGGAACATAGAATTACATGGGTTTTGCAGTTATAAACACATCACGATATATACCAAGATCCACACCAAAGTGACATAATTGGGGCTTACGCGAGGAGCCGAATGACAATAAATTAGGAATAAATAACGGGCTACGCTTTGAGGCAATGAGGCGATGAGGTGTGTCTTGTCAACCTTGACCAATAGCGGATCCAGAGTGGTAGCGGGTGGGGTGCGATGGGCTATGCCCCCTGTCTCTTGGGGCGAGGTGGTAACAAAATATCATGGTGAATGGGAACAAAAACCTCATTTCGAATCCACATAGTCTTTCTTTTCAAAAGGCCACGAGATTTCACGGGCACCACAAATGACCACAAATCGTTATTTTCGATAGAGACTGAAATCCGGGTACACCATAACCGGCCCAAAACCTTCATTATCTACGGGCACCAAATTTCAGGGATACAGCATGGTTGTGCCTCCCACCCGGACGAAATCCCAGATTAACCCCTTGGGCTAGGGGGCACTAAAATGGTCGGTTTGGGGCACTATAACGCTCATTTCGCGGCACCAAACCCCTATTTTGGCCTTTATTTTAAAGAGCCACGCTATCGAAGCGGGCAATTCAAATTTCGCAAAGCCTTGGTTTTAAACAGGGTTCAAAATCCATGGACATCACAATATCTATGTCCTTCACCCTTGCAACTTTCTCAATCTGCCTGTTCCACGAGGGAGCACCAAAAAAAAAAGATATTACCGAGCATCTTAGCTTTTATTTTCCAGAAGAACTCACTTCCTGAGGCACCACAAAGCAGCGGCGGGTCCAGAACGGGAGGGGCCGTAGGGCCATTCCTCTCCCCCTTAGGCCCAAGAATGCTCGGATGCCTCGAAGAGGCACCAAATCGCATCGCAAAGGGGCAACAATACATTCATTTCGGAACCACATAACCTACATGAGACACTAAGTTTCAGGGGCACCACGACGTTCATGCCGTGGTCTCGACGAAACCCTGCGTCGGCCCATGCGGTGAGGGAGCACCAAATCATTCATTTCGGGGCAACATAACCTTTATTTCAAGAAGTGCTCAATTCCAGAAAGTACCACAAAGGGCCCTGACCCTTTATCATGAAAGAGCCATTAATTCCACGGGCATAATTGTGTTGAGCTTTCCGCCCTGATAAAATCCTGCGTCGGACCCTTGGGCAAGGAGGCACAAAATCGCTCTTGTGGGGCGACATCATCTTTATTGCAAAGGGGCACTTAATCAAAACGGGCCATGAACAAAGCCCAAAACCATAATTTTACCAGGGCACCAAAGTCCAACGGCATTACAATCGGTGTGCCTTTCACTGCATAAAAATTATGAATCGGACCGTTCAGGGAACGGGCACCCTGTTCAGGGAAACGGGCACCAACAGCCTACGTTGTCATTGGGACTTTAAGAGATCATCATAATGCCCGTGCCTCTCCATTAATGAAATCCTGCATTGGCCCATTCCGCTACGTCGCACCTTTCTTTCGGACCACTGCAGCATATATTTCCTTGAGACACCAAGTGCAAGTAATCCATTGAAAGAAAAACTGAAGGTGGTCCAAACTTTCCTTTCAAGGGGCACCGAAATACAAGGCACCACAATTGCCCTGCCTTACACTGTTTAAATCCTGGTTCGGCTCCTATGGTGAAAGGGCAGCAAGAACTTGGATTGCGGGGCATCACAACATTTATCTTTATGAGCCCCCAATTTAAATTGGGTCACCACAATCAGCCCAAACATTTATTTTAAAGCGATGCAAGATTCCAGGGGCACTTAAAATGGCCCCTACAGCTTTATTTTCACGGGAACCGAATTAAGCATGACGCCCCCCCCCCCCCCACCCCTCTTTTAAGCTCCAAGGGTCTCATCCATTCCGAAGGTTCCTTTTTGGTCCCTTGGAGGCGAAGATCAAGAGCCCGTTTAAAGGGCCCGAAGAGCAGGCCAGAGGCCGCATGGACAGGATCACAGCCACATTGACCCGCATTGAAGACCGGACCCTAAAATGCAAGAGTAGCTCTAGCACTGATCGGAGATCAGCGTGGCTGTGCCTCTATTTTAAGGAACTGATTGAGAACAGCCATATCGAACAGTTCGTTCCGTGCTATTCTGGGGCCTAGAGGTTACTTCCCGAGCAAAGACAAGGCCAATATTTCTAAATGCCAATTAGAGGGCATCCTACATTCGTCGGGACGCCTGAAACAATGAAGGACCCACATTGCTGGTCAGTGACTACAGTCCCTGGCATGAGACCATGTGTCGGTAACGAGCCCCAGGTCGGCCAGGAGCACGTTTGCTGAAAAGGGACGATGATGGGCCCCCGTATTTCAAAGGGTCTACTGTGTTGGTCTGGACCCTCCTGACAATGAAAGGACTCATAAGAAATGACAAAAGGGAGTTTTCATGTACAATGAGACAGTGGAGAGCCCTGTGCGAATCAGGCACACCAGAACCGGACGAGGGATCCTCTGCATCATTTTAACCAGCAAGCGATGAGGAGGCGAATTATGGTCTCGATGCCAATTTTTGAATTTCCTGTGCCAGTAAAGAGTCTGTTTGCATCCATGAGGGCCTATACGCCGATCCGTTGCTGGATGTTTCAGTTAGAGGGCAAGCCGCATCGAGGAGGGGACCGGTCGTGATGCATCCTTCTGAGGGTCTCCGTACGGTCCTGTGGGCTATCACTAGATTTAGAGCCAGCTGGGGACCCCAGGATGAGAGGTAATGCCTCCAGCGGCTGACCAGAACGCTTGACCAGTGCAATTTAGTTGACTGACCAGTTGATTCGCTGAGCTGGTTCAGCAGTTGCAGCATTACGAGCAAGAGAGATTACGCCATCGCGCCTTCCCGTTGCGCCTCCCGTAATCCGCCCCGACTACCAATCTAAAAATTGTACTAGTGAAATATTCGGCAAGGGGACACCTTTCACATACCTACCCATCGACTTCATAAAGCGTTGGAAAGTACCGATTTCGATACTTGGTCATTTTCACCCATCTGTTGACCGCTGCCAGGTGTTGCTGCAAGGTTTCGTATGCTACAATGGTGTAACTACAACTTTATGTTCCGACGTCTCACGGAGCACCTCACGGAGGGGGCACCGAGGAATCACGTACAGCCTGACCACAATACTCTCCTCCTGCGCCGAACGCTTACACAAACCACCGCAATTTTATCATCTACACACAAAACAATGAAACTTAACATTCTGGATGCATTACTCACTTATGACCACAAACGACTTCTAACAAATCAATGAATCAAACTACCGAATCATCTCTTTGGAGCAGCATCTCAAGTGAATCACTTAGACAAGGAGCAAGACACTGATGACTGGCGCAGCTATTTGGGTGATTAGCATGCAGTGGTGTGATTTGCTGTGCTAATTGTGTTATTCACAGTGTGTGGTGCTAATGATGTCTTATGCACTGCTAAAGAAGTGTATGTTGTTGCCTTGTCAAAACGGCTGTGAGTGCTGTCCAGTGACAAGTTTGTTGTTGGTTTGCGTGCTCGCGTTTCATGTTCTGATTCAAAGTGTTTATTTGAAGTGCCGAAATGAGGAAGGGTCTGATATACAGAAGAGTCAGTCAGCAATCATATACCGTGCAAGTTCTGCGAGCTTTGTGTGTCTGTCGTCACAAAAGTATATATATATATATATATATATATATATATATATATACTTATACACATAACAAGCGAGAAGAACCAATATGGTGGGACCCTTGAACGATCTGGAGCACCCCGGCAGGCTAACATATAAGGTCCGGCCGGAGTACAGGTTCCCATGAACAAAGGGCAATAGCCGAAGATCAATGTGCATGAATTAACGCCGCTGTGTGACCAAGGGTGCCCAGGCAGGTTAACAGAGAGAGCTCTGACAGGTGAAGGATCCTCAGCAAATAAGCTCAAAAAAGGAAAGAGCCATAGGTCAATGAAAAGGGCCCCTGAGCATCCAGTGCCTCGGAACGTTACCTTATATGGGGCCCCCCAGCAGCAGTACGGGGTCCTCCAAGCAGGTAGAAAGAGCCCGACATGAAGAACCCGGTACCAATATGAAGGGCTCCTGAGCAACTGAGTGTACCCCGGCATTCGGGGCCCCGGCAGAAGCGACGGGGCGGGAGAACCCGCTTTCCCCGTGGGTACAGCGATCCCCGCCGAGCTTGCGCCGCCCGCCATGCCTCGGGCCGCACCGCCGCCCGGCGCGTCTGCGCCCAGACCGCCGGTGGGCCCCGCGGCGCGGCCGCGCCAGGCCGGACACGGCCACCAGGCGTCTAGGTAATTTATAGTAACCATGCTTGACTGTACGAATCAGGTGATCATCAGTCGAGTGCCAGGTTGATTGTGCCATTTGTTGATTAAAGAGGGAAATCGAGGCAGAAGCATAAAGATGCTTCTGTAGTGCTACCTAGCGGCAGAAATCCAGATTAGCCTGGTTGTCATGGATACTGGACGCTTTTAGCACTGGACTTAACGACTCTGGACTTTGCGACTCTGGACGTTGCGTCCGTGGATCTTATGAACGCTCTCAATGGGCACGGAATTGGACGTACTTCGGACGATATGAGCACTGGACGCTGCGATCTTAGACGTGTTGATGGCTCCCCAGCAAGAAGGGAAAGATTCCTAATCTTGTTCTTTCTAAAAATTGCACATATTTATGATCCTGAAATGATTCATTTCAACCCCATACAACATGAAACGGCGGAAAAATTACCACTCTGGTGTTTTGACTCCAACCATGACGTAGGGACAAAAACTGTGCGAACATTGATATTACACAACACTATGCAGCTCCCCCTATCCATGAGCCACGTCCTCGGGTCAAAACGTTGCAAAATTATTTTGCCTTTAAGAGGCTACTCCCCAGAAAAACTTATCACATGTATCAGTAGGAGATTACACAACTTTTCATGCATTGAACTAATCGAACTTAACCGATTCCTTTCATCGCCAGACTGTTTGGATCAGCGTTCGCCACCATCGGAACCCGGCATGAATGGCAGGCCGTCGGCCGTCGAGATGAGCTCACGGCGGATAAACCTAACGCATCCTTCATCTTTCCGTCCTCCGTCTTTCTGGTTGAAAGACGTCACCATTGAACGTGCCGTCCAAGGGATTACGTGATAACTGGCAGGTGACAGCCCAGTTTAATTCGCTGATAGTCGAACAACTATGCTCAAATCCGTGTCAACTTGGCATGCTTCTGCTCATGGTGGCACCGAGCCAACCCAATGTTCGAACCGCCACTAACCCTGTCAACGTGGCGTCGCAGTAGCCGACAGAACCGGTTCGTCCCACCACTCCATTTCACACTGTCGTGGGCCGATCGTGGTGAAAAAGATGGTGGCTTATGGGAGTGCCGCGAAAATCGACTACAAAAACTGGGCGCACCAGGTGGTTCGCGTCCGTTGATTGGCTGGCGTCCGGGCTGGCCCCGCCCCCGACCATATTATGCTAATGTATGATCGGTGTTTATCTGTTAGAAGAGGTGTCGGGCTGCGGGGTCGGCGACGGCAGCGTTTTTGTTGGCCCGTCTGTGTTGGGACCAGCTGCGGCGAAACACAACGCCCGTTCGCTGCCTATTCACGGTCCCCACTCGAGCACGGGGGGAGCATCAGGCGTCGTATAAACGCGCCCAATGACTATGATGTGACGGACCTAAAACGTTCACGTAGAAGTGGTACTTTTGGACAAGGTCAGCAGGTTGCTATCCTGATGCAACATGACGTAAACTGCATTAATTCGGCGGTGGTGACTCGCAACACATGAGCCCTTTGCCACTCCCGATAAGGTCGCGAACAACGTGGCGTAGTTGGGGCGCCCATAATTACCGACACTGAAAAAGTGCGAATGCGCCCTCCCATTCGTATTCACCGCCTTTTCGCATGGGTGCCAATGAATGTCTGTTTAGCTGCACCTCCATCGAATGACCAGAAAAGAGTGTTTGACTTTGTCGCTTACATCCGTTTTCCGCTCAAGAAGGTTTCAAAATGTGTATCAGAGTACAGGGCAGACCGGAAGCTCATTAGAGAGCCGCCTGACATTAGCGTCAACGTACTGGAAAAGAGCCGCATTCAAATGAGGCGGGGGGGGGGGGGGAGATATCGTTAAGATTACCTTTACAGGCGATGCACTCCGATTACACCGTTTGTATAAATGGACTTTGGGCCCATCCATCCAGAAAGATAGTGACGCCGAGCACCCCAGGTCGACTTCGTTCTGTTGCCCGGCATATCCACCTGTCCTCGGTGTCATCTCAAACGCCCTCTCTCGCTGTCTGTGGCAGCGTGACAACCGTTTTTCTGGCCACTGCAACCAATCGAGCAGATGCTCGTATCGCTTCATTACTGAAGAAATCCCTACTTTTGTATTGGCTACGCCATCGTGCATAAAAATAATTCACTTTGTAGCTTTAGAAGGCTTAATTCGTGGCCAAATTACATTCGATTTCATAAACTGACGGGGGCTCAGATAGAGTAATCATTTTGTGATCACAAACACCAGGGTAGCAAAACGATTGTCTGTGGCTATTTCGACGTAACGATATCCCGAACAGAACATGTCTTCTGATAGGAAATGTGAGAACGGGGTCAAAACCAGTGTCAAGGTGCTTGTCTTTCCCAGAGATCGTTATTGGTTTGCAAATAAGTAAGCCTATCCTAACACAAAAACTCATTTCCTTTGTCAACAGCCATTTAACACGCGCTGGGGTGGGGGCCAAATTGATCCCCGAAGGTTTTTCCAGAATAGGAAGAAATATTTCAGGGGCCTTCTAGAAAACATCGGGCATCCTCACAAATGGAGGGAGGGGCTTCTGGGCATGACTTTCAAAAGGATTCCTGAGATTGTAGGGGAAGAGGGCAAATAAACCTCCACGCCAACGTATTCCCTCCCAAAATTTTATGTTGCACTTTTTCAACGTGGATAAATTTAATCTTGCTTTCCCTCCACTGATTTTGCGATATGTGGAGGCAAGGGAATCCATTTTTAAGAATCACAGAGAACAGTGGAAGTACATCAGGGTGACCAAGTTTAAACCAATGCTATCCACTCACAGTTTTGAACGTTATCCTGCTAGGCAGGCTTAGTTTTAGTAGACAGCGATAAGTGGCGAAAAGCAGCACGGTTTCTTCGAAATGCAGTTTAATTTGTTATCTGCCCCTTAGCAGCCATACTTTTTATGACCACGGACAAGGATTAACCTGAAATCAGGAGCACTGCTTGAAGCTTCTATTGCTGCCAATATTTAAATGCTTCCTTTACAACGCCGTTTAACCAGCCCCTGCTATATTGCGGGTTGATAATTCAGCCCAATATCCCTGAACTGATAAATGATAGCTTCTCAGAAAAGTAATGTCATATGTCAGTCCGGCAGGCATTATTCTGGGATCCGAGCCCGAGTTGTCCTGCATACCGATAGGCGGCAACTGCCCCCCCCCCCCCCCCCCCCCCACAACGCCTGCTGCGTCGCCCCTGACTGCTCACATCAAAACAGCCCTTTTGTTACTGATTGTGAACTTATTGTGTTAAATCTCTGTCGTTTTGTTTTCCATTCCTCTGCTTTGTGTTCTCTTCAACTTGTCATTTGCTGAACGTATACATCTGACTTTTATCCATTTGCTTTGCGGTTCCCGTGACAGGAGCTGTCCAATAATTCATGCTGCTTGGCCATGGAATGGGGATAGGTCAGTTGATATATTAATGTCGTATCTAAACGGCACTATCCAAGTAGCGAACTTGGGGCCGCAAATTGCGGGACATTTGACACGCACGAAATAGATGCACCAAACAATCAATTTCAATGAATATTACGCATTATTGGCCATTTTCTGCTGCATTTGTGTTTGGTCGTATCACTGCATTCAGATGCAGCCATAATGAAAGTATCTCTGCCAGCGCAGTCGTTTGGCACAGGGTCAATGTCAAGCCCAAAACTTGGCAGTTGGTAAGTCTACAATCATTCCAGAGGAAAA